GGAGGCAGGAAAGGGTCGTCAAGTGAAATATAGCATCTCTGCCCACTCTGCATTTTAAGCCCCAGCAGACCATCATTGGGAGCCCCATGGCCATGGCTCCGCACAGCCCCAGCTCTACCCAAGCCATCCGTGGAAAAGCAGCACCAACTCCAAGGACGCTTTAGGGATTTTATCACTCGTGCAGGGCTTAGGGCTGACCCCAGGCACACCTGTTGCAGAGCAGGGCCCACAGCTTGGAGCAAGGACAGATCCAGAGCCAGCTGCCCAAAGGACAGACCCTGCCACAGGGAGCAGCTTCGCTGCAAGGGCTGCCCTTGGCCCCTGACAAGGGGGCTGCTGGGGGGTGCCTGAGCAGGGGCCAAACCCCTGAGAAGAGGGTGTTTGGGGACAGGGACTCTGTTTTCCTCTGAGGAGCCCCGATGCCTGCCCTGGGGAGATCAGAGATGCCACCTCTTTCCCCAGGGCCCAAACCGGCACCCTGCACAGGCACGAACAGGGCAGGATGTGCTACTCCCTCATCCCATCGCCCTTCATGTCCAAGTCCTGCTGCTTCGTCTTTCTACAACAGCCATATCCACCCCATCAGCTGTAACCCACAGCCTCCCCAGTACTGCCGACTGCTCTATCTGCCTCACTCTCAAGGAGCAGCCAGCAAGAAATCATCTCTCTGCATGCTGCCCTCAAGCCCGTACCTTGCTTCACCTTACCTTCTTCTTCCTCACCATGTGTGCCTCAGTCATGTTACCAGGGTACACAATGACTTAGAGGGAGCCGGTGGTCAGCACTGGCTGCAGGAGTGGCAGAGCAAAGAGGAGAAGCCTACAAGCCAGAGGAGAGCCTTTGGGATGGCGGTTTCAGCTAAAGAGGATGCTGCACAACCCCACACAACCCCCTGTCCCTATACCATGGCCCAGGGTCCTGTTAACCCAGGAGGGTGCCCTGGGGCAGGCACAGCCCAGGGCAACGCTACCTTCTCCTTGCCAAGTCCTCCCCTATACTGCAGCCAGCTTGCTCCCTTCCTTCCCTGCAGCACTTCCACAAGCAGCCTGTCACAGCAGGTGAAGAAAACCCAGCCCTCCAGGGAGAGCCCTCAAGAGCTTTTCCACCTTGGCCATGGCAAGCACAGTTGTTCAAAGCAGGGCTGCAGCTCCAGCCCAGGCACCGCTGTCCAAACTTGCCACCGTTATGCTGGGCTGCCTGTTCAGAAGAAAGAAAGAAAGAAAGAAAGGAAAAAAAAAAAAAAAAAAAAAAAAAACACCATTAAAAGGGTTGGAAAATTTTATTCTTTGCTGAACTTTAATAGTTTTTTGTTTGGTTTAAACACAATAAATATTTCAGTAATAGCATTTAACAGACTGGAATTCAAACTCACTGCAGTACCTAAACTCCCAGCGACAGGACTTCGGGGAAGCAATCGGGGTCCCTAGGACCATGGCAGTGCCAGGACCGCTGCTGACAGCCAGGCTGCTTCATCTGATCTCTGAGTCCAGAAGGACTGGACTTTCTCAGCTCCAGTGGGCAGCCTGGCAGAGCACCCTGAGCCCCAGGCCCCCACTGACAGCAGCTCCTCAGAAAGGCTCAATGGGGAAGGGACAGAACCAAACCACCACACCAGCACAAGCACCAAACGCATCTTTCCCTGCATCATTTCACAGCCCCAGGGACCAGGACAGCAGACAGCAGCATTGGCTCTCCAGCCCCACTGCACAGAGGGTTGGTGGCCGAAAACTGGGCTGCAGAGTCCGGTTAGTGCCTCCAAACTTGTTTCTTGAAGGACAAGGCAGCATCACTAACATCCTCCCCACCCTGCCCAGGAAAACTGAACAGCTGCACGGACACAGGCCTTTGAAGATGCTCTGAAGGGTTGCAGAGAAGCTCCCTGTCCTGCATTAATAGCAGAGGCCCAGTGGCAGGAGCCCAGAGAGCCAGGACCGTTTCCAAAACCACTCAGATATAAGGGTTGAGTCTGAAATGCCCCAGTTCACCCCACCTCTGCAGGTTGGGTTTGATGCTGCTGCCTTGGTTTGCCTTTAGGTGCAGGGTTACAGCTGGAGAAGAAAGCGATTCAGCACTCACGCAGAAGACCCGAGCCAAAACCAGCCTGGGACCCACCACCCTCCTCTTCCAGATGGGCTGGCACCAGCACAACATGGATCACTACCAAAACCAGCATCCACTTCAGCTGAAAGCTTGAGGGAGACGCAGATCAGTTTGAAACACTGCCGGGAAAAGCAGGGCAGAAGATTTTGATTAATGAGGTCTCCAACCTGAAGCATAGCACCAGCTCCTACCAAACAGCCACCACAGATGCCGCTGGCTGAGATGGAATGGCACCTTGGAGGGTGAGCAGCAAATTTCACCGAGAACCTCTGCTCCTGGGGCAACAACACTCTGACCACCTCCTCAGAGACCAGCCGAGAGACCTCTCAAGCCAGGTCTGACCACACCTGGATGGGCCAAAGGGTCTTCTACAAACTAACAGAGACCTTTTCCAGAAGCAAAAAGGTCAGCGTAGCACCCATCGTCACCACGTCCCACCAAAAGCAGCCTCCACCTCACCTCAGCCACTGCTTCGACACAGCACAGCGAGGTACAATAGGTGGGCAAAAGCAGGATGAGTCAAGGCTGCAACCCCACGCCAGGGCTGCAGATCTGCATTAGACAAGCAAAGAGTAAGTGAGCTTTCAGCTGACCCAGCTCCATCAGCATTGAAGCAAGGCTGACACACAGCACTGAAAGATTTTGGGATGGGGGTGTGTGTAAGGGAATGGTGGTGCGCTGAAGGACTCCCACTTCTCAAGCCAGTGATGCACACTAAGCAAAAAGGGACAACTGGAAACAAGACTGCTTCAGGGAAGTTCCTGCAGGTTTTGGAAGGATACAGAAAACCTCATGCACAGTTTTGCCATAAACTAAGGTGACCAGAGCTCAGCTACAGCTTGTTTGCACAAAAAACAACTGTTCCCTTGGACCCATGTATGGAGGGGGAAAAAAAAAAGGGGGGGGG